TTGTCGTCGAATAGTCATTGCTTGATTGAAGATATGTGTTGAAGATGTCCAAGTAGAAATCCGGTGGTGAAGACGCGCAGTTGTGAAGATAAAAGCACCAGTCGGCGGCGGCATAACCAGTCGGCGACGGAAGACGATGATGTCCATCAGTAGTGGTAGCTGTATAACCAGACGTAGAGGTAAGGGCACTAGTCAGCAGCAGACGAGACGACCGGCGATGAAGATATAGATGCCCAACAACAGCGGCATAATAGGCCAGCCGTGTAGGCGGTGACACCAGTCGGCGGCGGACGAGGCGGCCGGTCGATGAAGACGTAGACGCCCAACAACGGCGGCATAATAGGCCAGCCGTGCAGACGGAAACACCAGTCGGCGGCGATGGAGGCAGGACGGTGGTGGAGTCGTAGACGCCCAACAACGACAGCATAATAGGCCAGCCGTGCAGACGGAGACACCAGTCGGCGGCGGCGAAGGCAAGCCGGTCGGTGAAGACGCAGACGCCCATCAACGGTGGCATAATAGGCCAGCGTGCAGGCGGAAACACCAGTCGGCGGCGGTCGAGGCGGCCGGTCGGTGAAGACGTAGACGCCCAACAACGGCGGCATAATAAGTCAGCCGTGCAGGCGGAAGCACCAGTCGGCGGCGGACGAGGCGGCCGGTCGGTGAAGACGTAGACGCCCAACAACGGCGGCATAAAGGCCAGCCGTGCAGGCGGAAACACCAGTCGGCGGCGGCGAAGGCAAGCCGGTCGGTGAAGACGTAGACGCCCAACAACGGCGGCATAATAGGCCAGCCGTGCAGGCGGAAACACCAGTCGGCGGCGGTCGAGGCGGCCGGTCGGTGAAGACGTAGACGCCCAACAACGGCGGCATAATAAGTCAGCCGTGCAGGCGGAAGCACCAGTCGGCGGCGGACGAGGCGGCCGGTCGGTGAAAACGTAGACGCCCAACAACGGCGGCATAATAGGCAAGCTGTGCAGGCGGAAACACCAGTCGGCGGCGGTCGAGGCGGCCGGTCGGTGAAGACGTAGACGCCCAACAACGGCGGCATAATAAGTCAGCCGTGCAGGCGGAAGCACCAGTCGGCGGCGGACGAGGCGGCCGGTCGGTGAAGACGTAGACGCCCAACAACGGCGGCATAAAGGCCAGCCGTGCAGGCGGAAACACCAGTCGGCAGCGGCGAAGGCAAGCCGGTCGGTGAAGACGTAGACGCCCAACAACGGCGGCATAATAGGCCAGCCGTGCAGGCGGAAACACCAGTCGGCGGCGGTCGAGGCGGCCGGTCGGTGAAGACGTAGACGCCCAACAACGGCGGCATAATAAGTCAGCCGTGCAGGCGGAAGCACCAGTCGGCGGCGGACGAGGCGGCCGGTCGGTGAAGACGTAGACGCCCAACAACGGCGGCATAATACGTCAGCCGTGCAGGCGGAAGCACCAGTCGGCGGCGGACGAGGCGGCCGGTCGGTGAAGACGTAGACGCCCAACAACGGCGGCATAAAGGCCAACCGTGCAGGCGGAAACACCAGTCGGTGGCGGCGAAGGCAAGCCGGTCGGTGAAGACGTAGACGCCCAACAACGGCGGCATAAAGGCCAACCGTGCAGGCGGAAACACCAGTCGGTGGCGGCGAAGGCAAGCCGGTCGGTGAAGACGTAGACGCCCAACAACGGCGGCATAATAGGCCAGCCGTGCAGGCGGAAACACCAGTCGGCGGCGGCGAAGGCAAGCCGGTCGGTGAAGACGTAGACGCCCAACAACGGCGGCATAAAGGCCAACCGTGCAGGCGGAAACACCAGTCGGTGGCGGCGAAGGCAAGCCGGTCGGTGAAGACGTAGACGCCCAACAACGGCGGCATAATAGGCCAGCCGTGCAGGCGGAAACACCAGTCGGCGGCGGCGAAGGCAAGCCGGTCGGTGAAGACGTAGACGCCCAACAACGGCGGCATAATAGGCCAACCGTGCAGACGGAAACACCAGTCGGTGGCGATGGAGGCAGGCCGGTGGTGGAGTCGTAGACGCCCAACAACGATGGCATAATAGGCCAGCCGTGCAGACGGAGACACCAGTCGGCGGCGGACGAGGCGGCCAGTCGGTGAAGACGTAGACGCCCAACAACGGTGGCATAATAGGCCAGCGTGCAGGCGGAAACGCTAGTCGGCGGCGGACGAGGCGGCCAGTCGGTGAAGAGGTAGACGCCCAACAACAGCGGCATAATAGGCCAGCCGTGTAGGCGGTGACACCAGTCGGCGGCGGCGAAAGCAAACCGGCGGTGAAAATGTAGACGCCTGACAACGGTGTTGTGACCAACCAACCGTATAGGCGAAGACACCAGTCGGCGGCGACGACGGCGAGCCGGTGGTGATGTTCTGACTGATCCATTCCTGGAGCGTAAGAGATAAGCTTAAAGCCATGAATCCCTTTTATGCATATCTGGATTTGGATCCTGCAGAACAAACATATAGGATGAGTAGTATCTGATGTAAATATAATACTCGAGAAAAATTCAAGCAGTTTATAAATACGTATTTCTTCTCTTGTTAATTTTGATTTCCCCGAGCAGATGACTCATTACGTTTAAACACTCTGCCCGACTAGTCATAGCCACCAAGCACTGGGAGTCGGCCTAAGCACTTCCCAAACATGCATATGAATGACATGAGTTCGTCATTAATGGAACAAAGTTTCACGGATCGGAGTTTACTACTCGGGTACTTTTGCAATTATTAAGAGCAGAAAATAAATTATCTTATCTCTATGCTTTTGATTTATTCCGAATAATACTTAGCACCTTGCGTTACTCGGTCCATCCAACGAGCCCCCGGGTGCTAGGAATCGGCCTAAAGGCAACTATCCATTGGCAAACCAAACGGAAAGCATAGGAAGATGAACTCCATAACTCGATAGGCACTTTTGTACTTAGAATATGTCGCAAGCAATCAAGATAAATATTATGAAAAATATGATATAACATCTATAGCCCCCGACTCACTACTCAATGGAAGACCAATTGGTGTAGTGAGGCAGAGGAAAAGGAAAAATATCATATAAAGAATAAAATAAATGATGACTTAGCTTTTTCATATTCCCTCGGTGACGATAGAAGTAGCCGATGTGGGAACGAAGTAGTCCATCAATCATGATAAAAACACTAGTCGGCGGCGGCAAAGGCTAGCCGGTCGGTGAAGGCGTGGACGCCCATGAACGGTGGTGTGACCAACCAACCGTATCGGCGAAAACACCAGTCGGCGGCGACGGAGGTAGGCCGGCGGTGAAGTTGTAGACACCCGACAACGGCGGCATAATAGGCTAGCCGTGCAGGCGGAGGCACCCAGTCATGATCCGTCACCAGCACATGCGATTAGAGAAAAACAATAGGGCAAATCAATATGATTAAAAATCTAATTAGCAGCAAGAAGATTAGATGCATATGTATATTTTTGCTCCCTGCTAGCTTGTCCTGTGACGGATCGAAGCACGCACTGGATTGGTGAAAACACCAGAAGATCGGTCGAACCAGAAGATCAAATAATGATTGAAAAACAATCTGATAAAAGTTTATTTGGAATATTCAATTGAGAATATTATATAAAGTAGAGGATAAAGATGACTTAGCGGCTTGATGTTTCACGCGCAGATATTGCCCAGTATGGTAAAGCCGTGTCATGCAGCCGTGTAGACGTAGCGTCATTGCTAGCATATACAGGGATCAATTGGGGAGCCAATTTGTGTACGTCACATCCGATCTGTGTATGCATGTGTCTTGGACAGCAGCAGCTTGTTAGCGCCCATCAGAGCACCAAAGCCGCCGATACATGTTGGCAGATTGCTTCGACTGTTTCTCCTCCGCACGCTGGTAGATGGCTACAGTGCTGCTGATCGCGCCTCCGCCAACTTCGTGTCGGACTCGAGGCGCCGAAGCCCAAATCGATCTTGGCGGAATTAATTTCGCCGAGCCAAACAAAAGATGTTGAACGACGATGAAGTTGAAGCCGGCGACTCCAGAAATTTGTTCCATCTCACTTGATGACGACAAACTCGACGCACCCCTACCTGGCGCGCCAACTGTCGAAACATGAATTCGGCAATAATATAACGGGGTAGCGTACGAGACCTAAAAGTGGATGGATGCAGAGACGAAGGATTTAGACAGGTTCAGGCCCTCTCAATGAGAGGTAATACCCTACTCCTGTTTGGGGATTTGAATCCGCCGGGTGTAGTATAGATCTGACGATCAGGTTGTGTCATATATGCCCCCTAGAGGGCCTCCTGCCCACCTTATATAGGATGGGGGGCAGGATTACAAGATAGAAACCTTAACCAATACGGTATCGGTTTCCTAAATCAGGACTTTAGGCCGTTCCGTAATATACAAGGAAACGTAACACCCAAGTCATGATCTGTTACATATTACATAGATATAAGTTATCCCCTATAACTAGTCGGATAACCATGCCGTGTGGGTATGGGGTACCCATAATCTCCACAGTGTCATCCCACCTGCCATTGCCCAGCAGACTCACTAGCATGAACAAACAGATTTTTCATTTGCTGTCAAGCAACTATGTTGAAAAAAGAAGGCAATGGCAGCTCTCTGCCAATCAAGCTACACACCTTGTTCCCCTACTTAGCATTGAGATACTAGAGCTTATCAAGTTATCATGCAACTGGATAGCATTCTCTTACACCACGCTCTCCTGTTTGCTGCTCTGGTACTCAATGTCGCCGAGGCACTACATGATATTGGCTATGACACTTGGCTGAACTTCCTGATGCCTTCTAAGCCTCCACACATCTTAGCAAATCTCGTGCATCTCCTCGACAATAAAGGCAAAATGCATCACACGCATTTTCTTCTTGACCATATTGAGTATATATGATATCCAGAGGCTAGCTCTCATGTATGATGTCATTGAGAAGATCGACTATAGAATTAGAGTTTTTACGCCGATTTATCTATACTGAAATATAGAGTGCTATTTATCAAAGTTGTCTGCAGAAGTATATGGAATGTTATATTTTCTTTTTAAAAAGGAAAAAGTACACCGAAGGTCCCTCAACTTGTCATCGAGTTACAAAATCGTACTTAAACCGTAAAACCAGATACAACGCATCCCCAAACTTACAAAACCAGTGCAGACTAGGTACCTCGGCGGTTTTGACTCCGGTTTTGTCTGACGTGACAGCTGACTCAGCGTGGGTCCCACGTGGGCCTCACATATCAATGTGTCCACGTCAGCACTTTTTCTCTATCCCCTCTTCTCTCCCTTCTTCCTCCCCCTTTCCTCTCCTCTTCTCTCCTCTCGTGTTGCCGATGAGCAGGCATGATTGCGCCGGCGAGGGTCGGGTTCTGGCAGGCGCATCGCGGCGGCGGCGTCGGCAGGAGGGACGACCTGAGTGCAGCCGGGCTCGGTCGGTTCCTCGGCTACGCCTCGGCTCTGTGTACAGGGAGGGCCATCGCCGAAAAAACCCACCACCACCGGCGGCGCCAGTATGGCGCCCATCTGAGACGCCTGCGACATCCACCCCAGCGCCGTGTTCCGCACCGCCGTCGGGAACAGCTCCGCCGTGTAGATGAACAACAGGTTGTACGTCGCCGCCATGCCGAAGATCCCTACCACCCCGCACGCCAGCCTCGCCACCCTGAACAATCGATCAGCGTTCGTTAGATCATCAAATGTTATGCTCGCGTAGACGCGTAGTAATGATCGAGCTAGCTAATTTTGATTTGATGATCGGACATTAATTACCTCATGTCGCCGGCGCCGGCGATGAGGTTGCCGGCGGAGCAGGAGATGCCGCTGAGAAGCATCATGCCGATAGCGAGCGGCTTCCGGCCGAAGCGGTCGAGGAGCAGCGCGGTGAGCAGGTAGGCGGGCATCTCGGCGAGCGAGTTCACAGGACGCTGACGTAGAGGTTGTTCTTGAGGTTGACGACGTTGGGGCTGAGACAGTACACCACCGAGGGCGAGCAGGTTGATCGCCACTGAGAGCACCAGCCTGAACCGTGCGCACTCACCGCCGGCCTCCCCCCTCGACGGCGGGAAGCGAAGCTAGGAGCGCGGACGCGGCTCCGTCGTTGCCATTGGCGGTAGCGCGTCACCGCGGTTCCGTCGTCGACGCCGCCGCCAAGAGGCCCCGTGGTCCGACGCCGTCCTTGTCCTCTCCCTTGCGCGAGTGAATCAGGAGGTCGTCGAGCTCGAGTCTGCGTTTGCCGGGAGCCGCCGCCGCGCTTCTCCCCTGCCGGCTGCCGCCCGCGCCTGCCGGGCCTGCTGCGCCCGCCGCGCCCACCAAGTGCGACCTTTCTCCCCATGTGCCGTCGTCCTTGCTCACCTCACCGCCGCCGGGGTCTCCGTCCTCGAGTTCGCCCGCGCGGCGACGCCCTTCCCTTCTCCCGCGACGCTGCCGCCGCCGCCGCCCTCCTCCTTCTCCCGCCTCCCGGGCCTCTTCAACCCCGAGGTCGCACTCACCTCCCCTTCTCCCGTGTCGTCGTTGCCGCCGCCGGTCGCTGCCTCCGCCTCGTTGCCAGCCGCCGACGTCCTCCTCCTCGCCTCGTTGGCGGTCGGCTTCCTTCCTACCCGCTTGCCGGCCTTGCGCAGAGAAGAGTGAGAGAAAGGAGGAAGGGAGAGGGGGGGGAAGAGGGAGGGTGATGATGTGGCATCTTGATATGTGGGGCTCACGTGGGTCCCACGCTTACTCAGCTGTCGCGTTGAATAAAACCGTAGTCAAAACTACCTAATGAGTTAAAGTGAACGGTTTTATAAATTGAGGGATGTGAAATATCTGGTTTTACGTTTAGAGGATGAATTTGTAACTCGATGACAAGTTGAGGGACCTTCGGGGTACTTTTTCCTTTTAAAAAAGGAAATTATATTGACAAGAAATGTTGGACTTTATTTACATAATTACATTTTTTATTACAAGAAAGATACACACCCATAAATCACTGTTAAGTGTAGTAGTATGTCAAGGGTATTAGAGTACTTTCCCCTCTCTTGTGTTCCCCTCTCTCGTGTACATATATGCCATTTAGGACCAAAATCAATACAAGGTTGAAATCCCTAATTTCTATCCCCTCTCTGAAATTAACATGGTATCAGAGCAAGAGATCCTAAAACCCTAGCCACCAAATCCGGTCATCGCAGGCGCGCCGGCGGCGCTCGCCGCCGGCGAGCCATCGTCTCATCCTCCCGTCATTAGTTGGCTGTCTTCGAGTTGTAGCAGTTTTGCTTTTTGTCTCTTCTCTTCGCATCAAAGCAGCAGCAACAATCGCCTCCTCCTGCTGCCGCCGGCCTAGCCACCGGCTACCTCGTCCATCCGTCGTCCTCCGCGACCGATCCCGTTGCAGATCTCGCGGCCGGTGGCGGTCGTCGTCGTCGTCGTCGTCCGTTGTCATATGTCGCATCAAGTCATCATGTTGTGGCTGCCGCTCGTTGCGTCCCCTTCCTCGTCGTCCCGTCCTCAAGCCTGTCAAGCAGCAGTCCGGAGCATCGTCCTTCCTCATCCCCACGCATCAGTGCGCGCTGCCAGAGGCAACCCCGTCCAAGCCGTTAGCCCTGTCGTCCCCGCCGCGGCTCGTCGTCAATCGCGAAGCCGTCCTCACCAGCTGTCGTGGTCGTCGTCCTCGCTCCAAGTCGCAGCGCTCGTCAACGGCGGCATAAAGGCCAGCCGTGCAGGCGGAAACACCAGTCGGCAGCGGCGAAGGCAAGCCGGTCGGTGAAGACGTAGACGCCCAACAACGGCGGCATAAAGGCCAACCGTGCAGGCGGAAACACCAGTCGGTGGCGGCGAAGGCAAGCCGGTCGGTGAAGACGTAGACGCCCAACAACGGCGGCATAATAGGCCAGCCGTGCAGGCGGAAACACCAGTCGGCGGCGGCGAAGGCAAGCCGGTCGGTGAAGACGTAGACGCCCAACAACGGCGGCATAATAGGCCAACCGTGCAGACGGAAACACCAGTCGGTGGCGATGGAGGCAGGCCGGTGGTGGAGTCGTAGACGCCCAACAACGACGGCATAATAGGCCAGCCGTGCAGACGGAGACACCAGTCGGCGGCGGACGAGGCGGCCAGTCGGTGAAGACGTAGACGCCCAACAACGGTGGCATAATAGGCCAGCGTGCAGGCGGAAACGCTAGTCGGCGGCGGACGAGGCGGCCAGTCGGTGAAGAGGTAGACGCCCAACAACAGCGGCATAATAGGCCAGCCGTGTAGGCGGTGACACCAGTCGGCGGCGGCGAAAGCAAACCGGCGGTGAAAATGTAGACGCCTGACAACGGTGTTGTGACCAACCAACCGTATAGGCGAAGACACCAGTCGGCGGCGACGACGGCGAGCCGGTGGTGATGTTCTGACTGATCCATTCCTGGAGCGTAAGAGATAAGCTTAAAGCCATGAATCCCTTTTATGCATATCTGGATTTGGATCCTGCAGAACAAACATATAGGATGAGTAGTATCTGATGTAAATATAATACTCGAGAAAAATTCAAGCAGTTTATAAATACGTATTTCTTCTCTTGTTAATTTTGATTTCCCCGAGCAGATGACTCATTACGTTTAAACACTCTGCCCGACTAGTCATAGCCACCAAGCACTGGGAGTCGGCCTAAGCACTTCCCAAACATGCATATGAATGACATGAGTTCGTCATTAATGGAACAAAGTTTCACGGATCGGAGTTTACTACTCGGGTACTTTTGCAATTATTAAGAGCAGAAAATAAATTATCTTATCTCTATGCTTTTGATTTATTCCGAATAATACTTAGCACCTTGCGTTACTCGGTCCATCCAACGAGCCCCCGGGTGCTAGGAATCGGCCTAAAGGCAACTATCCATTGGCAAACCAAACGGAAAGCATAGGAAGATGAACTCCATAACTCGATAGGCACTTTTGTACTTAGAATATGTCGCAAGCAATCAAGATAAATATTATGAAAAATATGATATAACATCTATAGCCCCCGACTCACTACTCAATGGAAGACCAATTGGTGTAGTGAGGCAGAGGAAAAGGAAAAATATCATATAAAGAATAAAATAAATGATGACTTAGCTTTTTCATATTCCCTCGGTGACGATAGAAGTAGCCGATGTGGGAACGAAGTAGTCCATCAATCATGATAAAAACACTAGTCGGCGGCGGCAAAGGCTAGCCGGTCGGTGAAGGCGTGGACGCCCATGAACGGTGGTGTGACCAACCAACCGTATCGGCGAAAACACCAGTCGGCGGCGACGGAGGTAGGCCGGCGGTGAAGTTGTAGACACCCGACAACGGCGGCATAATAGGCTAGCCGTGCAGGCGGAGGCACCCAGTCATGATCCGTCACCAGCACATGCGATTAGAGAAAAACAATAGGGCAAATCAATATGATTAAAAATCTAATTAGCAGCAAGAAGATTAGATGCATATGTATATTTTTGCTCCCTGCTAGCTTGTCCTGTGACGGATCGAAGCACGCACTGGATTGGTGAAAACACCAGAAGATCGGTCGAACCAGAAGATCAAATAATGATTGAAAAACAATCTGATAAAAGTTTATTTGGAATATTCAATTGAGAATATTATATAAAGTAGAGGATAAAGATGACTTAGCGGCTTGATGTTTCACGCGCAGATATTGCCCAGTATGGTAAAGCCGTGTCATGCAGCCGTGTAGACGTAGCGTCATTGCTAGCATATACAGGGATCAATTGGGGAGCCAATTTGTGTACGTCACATCCGATCTGTGTATGCATGTGTCTTGGACAGCAGCAGCTTGTTAGCGCCCATCAGAGCACCAAAGCCGCCGATACATGTTGGCAGATTGCTTCGACTGTTTCTCCTCCGCACGCTGGTAGATGGCTACAGTGCTGCTGATCGCGCCTCCGCCAACTTCGTGTCGGACTCGAGGCGCCGAAGCCCAAATCGATCTTGGCGGAATTAATTTCGCCGAGCCAAACAAAAGATGTTGAACGACGATGAAGTTGAAGCCGGCGACTCCAGAAATTTGTTCCATCTCACTTGATGACGACAAACTCGACGCACCCCTACCTGGCGCGCCAACTGTCGAAACATGAATTCGGCAATAATATAACGGGGTAGCGTACGAGACCTAAAAGTGGATGGATGCAGAGACGAAGGATTTAGACAGGTTCAGGCCCTCTCAATGAGAGGTAATACCCTACTCCTGTTTGGGGATTTGAATCCGCCGGGTGTAGTATAGATCTGACGATCAGGTTGTGTCATATATGCCCCCTAGAGGGCCTCCTGCCCACCTTATATAGGATGGGGGGCAGGATTACAAGATAGAAACCTTAACCAATACGGTATCGGTTTCCTAAATCAGGACTTTAGGCCGTTCCGTAATATACAAGGAAACGTAACACCCAAGTCATGATCTGTTACATATTACATAGATATAAGTTATCCCCTATAACTAGTCGGATAACCATGCCGTGTGGGTATGGGGTACCCATAATCTCCACAGTGTCATCCCACCTGCCATTGCCCAGCAGACTCACTAGCATGAACAAACAGATTTTTCATTTGCTGTCAAGCAACTATGTTGAAAAAAGAAGGCAATGGCAGCTCTCTGCCAATCAAGCTACACACCTTGTTCCCCTACTTAGCATTGAGATACTAGAGCTTATCAAGTTATCATGCAACTGGATAGCATTCTCTTACACCACGCTCTCCTGTTTGCTGCTCTGGTACTCAATGTCGCCGAGGCACTACATGATATTGGCTATGACACTTGGCTGAACTTCCTGATGCCTTCTAAGCCTCCACACATCTTAGCAAATCTCGTGCATCTCCTCGACAATAAAGGCAAAATGCATCACACGCATTTTCTTCTTGACCATATTGAGTATATATGATATCCAGAGGCTAGCTCTCATGTATGATGTCATTGAGAAGATCGACTATAGAATTAGAGTTTTTACGCCGATTTATCTATACTGAAATATAGAGTGCTATTTATCAAAGTTGTCTGCAGAAGTATATGGAATGTTATATTTTCTTTTTAAAAAGGAAAAAGTACACCGAAGGTCCCTCAACTTGTCATCGAGTTACAAAATCGTACTTAAACCGTAAAACCAGATACAACGCATCCCCAAACTTACAAAACCAGTGCAGACTAGGTACCTCGGCGGTTTTGACTCCGGTTTTGTCTGACGTGACAGCTGACTCAGCGTGGGTCCCACGTGGGCCTCACATATCAATGTGTCCACGTCAGCACTTTTTCTCTATCCCCTCTTCTCTCCCTTCTTCCTCCCCCTTTCCTCTCCTCTTCTCTCCTCTCGTGTTGCCGATGAGCAGGCATGATTGCGCCGGCGAGGGTCGGGTTCTGGCAGGCGCATCGCGGCGGCGGCGTCGGCAGGAGGGACGACCTGAGTGCAGCCGGGCTCGGTCGGTTCCTCGGCTACGCCTCGGCTCTGTGTACAGGGAGGGCCATCGCCGAAAAAACCCACCACCACCGGCGGCGCCAGTATGGCGCCCATCTGAGACGCCTGCGACATCCACCCCAGCGCCGTGTTCCGCACCGCCGTCGGGAACAGCTCCGCCGTGTAGATGAACAACAGGTTGTACGTCGCCGCCATGCCGAAGATCCCTACCACCCCGCACGCCAGCCTCGCCACCCTGAACAATCGATCAGCGTTCGTTAGATCATCAAATGTTATGCTCGCGTAGACGCGTAGTAATGATCGAGCTAGCTAATTTTGATTTGATGATCGGACATTAATTACCTCATGTCGCCGGCGCCGGCGATGAGGTTGCCGGCGGAGCAGGAGATGCCGCTGAGAAGCATCATGCCGATAGCGAGCGGCTTCCGGCCGAAGCGGTCGAGGAGCAGCGCGGTGAGCAGGTAGGCGGGCATCTCGGCGAGCGAGTTCACAGGACGCTGACGTAGAGGTTGTTCTTGAGGTTGACGACGTTGGGGCTGAGACAGTACACCACCGAGGGCGAGCAGGTTGATCGCCACTGAGAGCACCAGCCTGAACCGTGCGCACTCACCGCCGGCCTCCCCCCTCGACGGCGGGAAGCGAAGCTAGGAGCGCGGACGCGGCTCCGTCGTTGCCATTGGCGGTAGCGCGTCACCGCGGTTCCGTCGTCGACGCCGCCGCCAAGAGGCCCCGTGGTCCGACGCCGTCCTTGTCCTCTCCCTTGCGCGAGTGAATCAGGAGGTCGTCGAGCTCGAGTCTGCGTTTGCCGGGAGCCGCCGCCGCGCTTCTCCCCTGCCGGCTGCCGCCCGCGCCTGCCGGGCCTGCTGCGCCCGCCGCGCCCACCAAGTGCGACCTTTCTCCCCATGTGCCGTCGTCCTTGCTCACCTCACCGCCGCCGGGGTCTCCGTCCTCGAGTTCGCCCGCGCGGCGACGCCCTTCCCTTCTCCCGCGACGCTGCCGCCGCCGCCGCCCTCCTCCTTCTCCCGCCTCCCGGGCCTCTTCAACCCCGAGGTCGCACTCACCTCCCCTTCTCCCGTGTCGTCGTTGCCGCCGCCGGTCGCTGCCTCCGCCTCGTTGCCAGCCGCCGACGTCCTCCTCCTCGCCTCGTTGGCGGTCGGCTTCCTTCCTACCCGCTTGCCGGCCTTGCGCAGAGAAGAGTGAGAGAAAGGAGGAAGGGAGAGGGGGGGGGAAGAGGGAGGGTGATGATGTGGCATCTTGATATGTGGGGCTCACGTGGGTCCCACGCTTACTCAGCTGTCGCGTTGAATAAAACCGTAGTCAAAACTACCTAATGAGTTAAAGTGAACGGTTTTATAAATTGAGGGATGTGAAATATCTGGTTTTACGTTTAGAGGATGAATTTGTAACTCGATGACAAGTTGAGGGACCTTCGGGGTACTTTTTCCTTTTAAAAAAGGAAATTATATTGACAAGAAATGTTGGACTTTATTTACATAATTACATTTTTTATTACAAGAAAGATACACACCCATAAATCACTGTTAAGTGTAGTAGTATGTCAAGGGTATTAGAGTACTTTCCCCTCTCTTGTGTTCCCCTCTCTCGTGTACATATATGCCATTTAGGACCAAAATCAATACAAGGTTGAAATCCCTAATTTCTATCCCCTCTCTGAAATTAACATGGTATCAGAGCAAGAGATCCTAAAACCCTAGCCACCAAATCCGGTCATCGCAGGCGCGCCGGCGGCGCTCGCCGCCGGCGAGCCATCGTCTCATCCTCCCGTCATTAGTTGGCTGTCTTCGAGTTGTAGCAGTTTTGCTTTTTGTCTCTTCTCTTCGCATCAAAGCAGCAGCAACAATCGCCTCCTCCTGCTGCCGCCGGCCTAGCCACCGGCTACCTCGTCCATCCGTCGTCCTCCGCGACCGATCCCGTTGCAGATCTCGCGGCCGGTGGCGGTCGTCGTCGTCGTCGTCGTCCGTTGTCATATGTCGCATCAAGTCATCATGTTGTGGCTGCCGCTCGTTGCGTCCCCTTCCTCGTCGTCCCGTCCTCAAGCCTGTCAAGCAGCAGTCCGGAGCATCGTCCTTCCTCATCCCCACGCATCAGTGCGCGCTGCCAGAGGCAACCCCGTCCAAGCCGTTAGCCCTGTCGTCCCCGCCGCGGCTCGTCGTCAATCGCGAAGCCGTCCTCACCAGCTGTCGTGGTCGTCGTCCTCGCTCCAAGTCGCAGCGCTCGTCAACGGCATCTGTCACTGCCGCTCGTCGTGGCGTGCATCTCCTCACCATCTCCACATCTGGCCCCCCGCATCTGCCTGTTGTGACCCCTTGCCCGGCGCCGGTCCTCTCCGCCAATCAGGCCTCGTCACCCGTTTGTAGCAGAGCAAGCAGCTGCCGCTGCCGGCAGATCCTTCATTCTTGGCTGTTGCCTGTAAACTGCACAAGTCCATATGCTGCACACAAGGTGCTCGACAAAATGCTTCAAAGAGTTGCTCCCACAGTCATGCTTTTGCCTTTCCAAATTTGTGCTTTACTGAAAGTATTCGTGGTCTCTCATTACCATCTCCTGAAGAAGCTGTCCATCTTCATCAGCTACTGCTCTCTGCTACCAAATTGGATAGAATTAATCAGTTAATCTGCAATTCCTTGGCAGCCACAATTATGTCTTTTGCTAGCATATCAATGTCCTCTACAAATTGATTTCCTTTGTTTCCTATGATCCTATCTAGTTTATCCATGAAAGTCTTGCTGCATATCTATTAGTATCGGTGTCATTTACTAGTTGCCATTCAGTCCATCCAAGTCCATTGCATATTCTTCAATCCGTCGAAGCCATGCCAATTTATCTCCAGCTTCATATCAGCTCTCCGTCGGAGTTGGTCTATCACTTCACCAGCTCCACATTGGAGCTGGTCTGTCATATCACCAGCTCCCCATCGGAGTTGACATCATCATCAATCAATGAAGGACCGAAGAACAATTTGTGAAGGTCCTTCATCATCACCATCATCGTCGTCATCAGATCTATGAAGGTCCGAAGAACAGTTTGTGAAGGGCTTTCCATCATTGTCAACATCTCTAAATCAATGAAGAGCCGAAGAACGAGTTGTGAAGGCTTCAAGGTACCGAGGGCCGAAGAACAGTTTGTGAAGGCTCCGAGGTCCACTTCATTGAAGAGGAGATGGATCTTTTTCTTCTTCATCGTCATCATCCAAGAATTGGCACACTTTGACGACATCATCAAGACTTTGGAGATAGGCTAATATTTAGTTTGTGTCCTAGTGTTTAGTTTACCCTTCAAATGCAATGTTATTGCATACACATTGCATTTGAGTGGGGGTGTTAAGTGTAGTAGTATGTCAAGGGTATTAGAGTACTTTCCCCTCTCTTGTGTTCCCCTCTCTTGTGTACATATATGCCATTTAGGGCCAAAATCAATACAAGGTTGAAATCCCTAATTTCTATCCCCTCTCTGAAATTAACAATCACCACACATGCACAATCGCGAGTGTGGGCGCTTATTTGAACCCACAGTGGTGAGAGTCATGCACCGACCATCGCTCCACCACATTAAATACGTTTCCTCTATATTTACTAATTTATCAATAGTATATCTGGTATCTGATAGAAGGTCAATTTACAATACATTGACAACAACAGTCAAGTGCAAAGCAGCAAAACTTGCTTGGAACTTATCAACCAGCCAAGACCTCTTCAATTGTGACAAAACGCCCCTTCTCAATGGACAACTGCCCAGCCACGCCGATGGCAACAGATAATAGGCCATCAGTTAAATCGACCGATGGGCCGGATGCACCTTGAAGCCTGATGGCAGACAGGAAATTGAGGTGCTCCAGGTAGCTAGATCCATGATGAAGACCTTGATATCTGAAAAATTTACAGTTAGTGGAGATACATAAAACTTCTTACCTACCTAGACCAAAGTAACCTCTGAGCATTACTTCCCTTCTTGGAAGGGATTAATTTTCCTGGACTGTTAACTAATCCTGTAGTTGGATAAGCAGATATTGAATATTATAAAGGAGATCCTTTAAAAGAAAAATTTTTAATGTGATGTCCGTCCATGGATATTAAAACCGCTTTTAGTTTTGGGACACTTTTACAGTGGGTGTTTTCCAATCTGAAGGAAAATGTCAGTGTGTTTTATGGATAACCTGTTGCCCAACGACAACTGTTCAGAAGAACAAAATTTTGTTACAAAGTGGTAAAGCGGAACATACTTGATCCGTTCATCTTCAGCCATTATCGTTACAACTCCATCTCTACCTCCTGTTCTCTTTCCAACCCTAACAATGCTCTCTGGAACAAAAGCCTCGCCCTGTTTAAATTTCCATCATTATACATAATAAAATTCCGTACTCTGACAGTTAACTTAATATAGCATGTATAATAAAGATTAGCTATGCCAAATAAATTCTAAAAGGGACTCCTTTCTATTTCTTAGCTCCATTGCAACAATAAAAAGACTCAAACTTACCTAATGCCCTAATGGCATCTGAAGCAACTTGCCTAAAATCTTTGGCAACAAGCTCAGAACCAGATCATCATGAAATTTTACAGCTTCAACTACATCTTCTGACACCCCCTCCCCCTTATCTATATGGTCCCAGCATTTTATACTATGGTCGTGACATTTAGAAATTAGAATCCATATCTTTATCACTTCTTGCTCATAGTCAGCGTCAAAAAAAACTTCTTGCTCATAGACTTGAGCACAATAGACCAACCTTTTATTTTGGATCTATGGTGTAGAGATGCATGTGTTATTGCCGATGCTTAATCATTCAAATATAATTTACCAGTGAGCCAATGCTTTTGGAATAGATAACTTCTGTCTGAACAACATTCCCCAAGAGTGTGCAATATTCATCTAAAAAAGGTAAAAGATGTAATAACAGGACCCATATTTGATAGGTTACGACTACCACATCTGGTGTGGTGATGTGCCTCTAAGCTCTAGCAGCATGACAAGATATTTTATGCAATTTTGCAGCATAGTGTCATTTTTACTCTTAATTGCCCTTACTGTTGGGGAAGATCTAAATTACCCTAGAAACATCATCAGCTACATAACAAAAATTCACTAAAGTGGCATATCTGCGTATTACTACGCAACTGTACTACGAAGAAATCAAGATATGAAAAGCATCGTCTTAGTTGTACCTTCCCAATGTCACCAACTACAGAAATTTCCTGCTCATTCCTACTACCTTCAGCAAACATGCAGAGGTCAAGCATGCCACGAGAGCCATTATCAAATTCTACTATTACATATGCATTGTCTATAATATCTGGAACCTGCATTGAGAAAGAAGTTAAAATCAGGGACTGCTGTTTAAACTGAGACCACCATAACCCGATAAGCACAAAAAATGCGCTGCAGCTTATAAATATAGCCTTTATAAGCTTATAAATAATCACATGAGTGAAAATGCCATCCAGCTTATAAATCAGCGATCTTGTAGTCAATTAACCTGACCTTCCCATCATAAATTTCATCCTTGTGGTTGACATCAATGGCTCCAGAAGCCATCACACGAACAGGGTTTGCAGCTGCAAACAATCTCATCAAATCAAAAAAATGGCAGCACTTCTCAACAAGAGTTCCTCCACTGTTGCAATTGAACCTATTCCAATTGTTAACCTGCCAGGGTTGTAACAGTTACAGCCTTACAGGAAATTTGAAAAGAATAATTACAACTAGTATCATAGTCTTGGGTCCTTGTACCTTAACAAGGAAAGGAAACCGGTGTTCACGGATTGCCACCATTCTGACTTGCCCCAAGGTGCCACTTTTAACAGTATCTATAAGCTTAGCAACCGGAGGCATATACCTGTATTCTAATCCAACTTGCACAAGTATGTCTGATCTCTGTTTAGCCGCTTCTACAACCTGTATGGAAAGATGGACAGATTCTGAAATCCACATGAAAGAGGTTTGTACAGATCGAGAGAACTAAAATTTTCAGGTGTTCATCAGAGAACAACTGAACAGAGACACAAACAATCAAGATAGATCTATGTAGATTCAAGGTCAAATACATTGATATCTGTTTTTCCTCAACAACCTTGCTAGCATGTCTTCTCTTTAATTTCTCAGTAGATTAGCATGGCTCTCCTTTCTTTTCGCTTCTACTACAAATGCAATTAAATGTTCAACAAACTTCCCACATACAACGAGAACAGCAAAGCTTAAAAGTATTCATGAACGTAAAATTTTGCAGCACTGCAGGCATCAAAATCACATCACACAGCTCTGACCCTCCAAAATTTGAGCTCACCTTCTGACAGTCCTGTACTGTAGTACACAAGGGCTTCTCAACAAGGATGTGGTGTGGTTTGGCGTGACTGATGATGTCCATGAGTATCTGGTAGTGGGTCATGTTTGGTGATGACACGACAACAGCGTCGCAAAGCCCGCTGTCCAGCAGCTCCCCATGACCTGAAAAGATCTTGAAACCTTCTAGTCGTTTAGGATTCAGTACAACAACAGGCACAACTATAGAACACACAAATTGTGGCAATCTAATATCATCCATACTGTCAATAGTTTTGACAAAAAATCTGAATTGAACTAACACACATGGCACACTAAAGTCTAATTGTGATGAAATCAATGAAAAAAAGGGAATTAATTTCAGAAACTAGAATCACAATTATCAGCCACTACTAAGCAGTAATCAAGGCAGTAGTATTCACAGTTTTAATAAAATCACTGTACAAAATGATAGAATAAATAGTAGTGAAAAAAGTAATACCACTTAAAATTAAAACCTTTCTATGGAAGCTTTTCCATTATAAACTTCCATCTGCACACTGCACAACGTTTTCCTCTGGCTAAATTTCGTTGGACCTATCTTAGAGATACTTTTTATTGGGATAGATCTCTCAACAATAGAGAAGACTTCCTTTTTTTCCTGGTTGCATCTGGGATGTGGCCCTGGCTATACAGTTCTCTGTTTTGGGGCTTTGGCCCTGGGCTAATCAGCAAAATCAGAACAAAATGGCAACTGAGAAAAGGTTTCCTAAGAAAACTGAATTAATCCTTCTGAAGAAAGTTTCTATTCTCTTTGCAGTCCTGGAGTGTACTACTGCGGGTGAAGGACAGAACAAAGGTTTAGGATTTCAGCAGTAGCCTAAAGATTTGGATGCAAACTCTACAGAGCCATCCTGGTTGACAAAGGACAATATTTGATATGCAGCTACTTATGAAACATTTTCTGGTGGACCAGCAAAAGAACACCAACAAAACTTCTAAGTTCAATAGAGGCCTGCTAGTTGCTACATGCTCTACAACAAACAATATTACCATACAACATCCAGCCACATCTCAAATCTCAACAACCTTTTTTTTTATCTTTATTAGTAGTGTTTCTCCTCTTTAGGTCCTATTCCTTCCTTTTGGTTTGCATTTGCAGAACAACAAAACTTGTAAAAGTTCAAGTGAGGCTTGCTACATGTTATACAACAAACAAGATCACTGTACATCATCTAGCCAGACCTCAACAACTATGTTGTTTTGATGTATGGCCTCTGGGAACAAGATTGCCATTTTGGTGTTGTCTTTAGTGGTGTTTCTCCTGCTTTTAGCTCAATGTTGCTGTTACTAATTCCTTTTGTTTGCATTTGCAAAACAACTCTGAAACTTCTGCACTCTGAAACCCATGCTTTCAATAAAATAAAAGCAGCAAAGGGTCCTACTCCTACTTGCCCTACAGTTCATCATCAAAGCGAAAGGTGAATTCAGATAATATGATGGCCATGGCGTGCGTGTATACACCTGGGGAGCGGGGAGGGCGAGGTCGGCGGCGAGCTGGAGGCCGAGTTGGAGCGACTCCGGGTGGGGGTCGGCGAGGCAGGTGACGCGCAACCGCACCGGCGGCTCCGCCCGCCCGACCTCGCCGGCGAGGTGGGCGAGGTTGTGGAGGTGCTCCCTCCCCATCATCCCCACCCCGACTATCCCGTACCTCACCTCCGGCGCCGCCGCAGCCGTCGCCGTAGTCGTCGCCATCCGCTCTCGAGTGAATCTGGACGGGTTTCCGGTCAAGTGGTTCGAATGTTCCCCCGCGCATATTTGGAATGACAAATTGACAAGTGTGAGAACGGGTTGGTGCGCATCTTTGGAAGCGGATTCTGTTGTGTTTCTAGCCGTCGGATCGAAAGCATGGAGCGTGCTCGTCCGTTGGATCAATGGCACTGTAGAGTGGGCCAACCACGAATGAGGTTGACTGATGGGTTCGGCCCGTTCGGGCCCAACTTCAGCGTTGGCCTTCGACCTGACCAAGACCCTGATGAACTTAATCCGTTTTTGAGAATATGGATAAACTGGGTTTCTCAGCTTCTAGTTTTAGTTCATTATCTAGATTCTACAATTACAAATTCTCAAAATCTGGATGATAATCTGGATGGTTTGAGAAGCTGCAGCCGCTAAAAGCTTCACAAACAGACCTTCTTCATGCCAAGTGATGGTGAGTCAATACTTTTCTGATATGACCAGTGGATTGGCGGCCGCTTCAACTCCTTGAATCCTCCTGGTCTCTTGGCAACTGTGGAAGGAACGGGACTCCAGGGTTTTTGACTCTGCGCTCTCTTCGGTCTCAGTGGTTCTAGAGTCCATCCTTTCGGAGGGTCGTCTGTGGTCGTTAGTGGATGTTGCTTCTTTTGGAGATTTTTTGGGAGTTGCTTCTTTTGGGGATTTTTTGGGAGTGTAGTGTGGCTCTGCCCTCTCCTGCTGATTGGAGTAGCGTTTATCCGTCGTACGAGTTTTCTTTTTCTTCCTTGGTTTTTGACTTTGTTTTCTCCCTTCCCTTGGCATCAACCGGTCTAGCTAATTGCGTTGTATAACAAAAACTATTTTCTTCTAATATATTGACGAGCAGTAATTTTGCGCGTTTGAAAAAAAAAACAGACCCACGTTAGAATACTTGGTCTTGGGCACTGCCGGGCCTATTTGGAAGGAATAAATTTGAGCGTTACTCCTAGTTTAAAACATTATTATTCGATAGATTAGCCACGGATTATATATACAAGGATAACTTAAAACATTATTATCCGAGAAAACGTATTTGTGTACACCTAAACCTAAACCATAGGCTTGCCATACATTTATCGATGGATTATGACGTTTCAGATTAGGCGTGTTAATTACACCATGCGAGTAAACATACTCTACTGTTCTTGTTAATCAAACCCAATTCAAGCCAACAAAAATTGTGATTTGCCCCGGCCCTGACGACGAGTGGTCTGAACTCTGAAGTCTGAGCTGAAGAAGATTTGCCCCGGCTCTAACGACGAGTGGTCTGAACTCTGAAGTCTGAGCTGAAGAAGAGGGAGTAGTAGCTGGCCACTAACATAAGTACATGCTAATACTACTATGCTAGTTGTAATCTCCATGTAAATGCACTCTGCATCACCTGTTAAATCAAATGCAAACCAAGCCAATAAAACTGTAATGTGCTCCGTCCCTAGTGACAGAGATTCTGAAGTCTGAGCTGAAGAAGAAGAGAGATTAAGATGGCCACTAGTCTGATCAAAAGAAGCTTCTCTTTTTGTGCAGTCGGCTCCGCTCCGCTACTTTCCGCCTCAGATTTCGCGAAAAAGCGGCGGAGCACGAAGCTAGCAATCAGCAATGGCAACGCACGCCTGCAATCTCAATCCGCTGCGTGTCTCATGAATCATCGATCGAAATGGTGGTGGGAATTGCACTGCAAATTTGCATTGAAATGCAGTATTGCGTCCCTGTCGATCTGTCCTACCTGCATGCGCTTTAGCCAAGGCCACGCCATGGCCATGGCCATGCTTGCTCTCGATCGGATGCTCCACCACTCGATGGATTTTCGGACGCACCCGCGGGTCCAAAGGCTGCAGATTTCTCATCATTCTTCCCCCCTCCAAATTCAACAATCCCAGGCCAAGAATTTCGCATTTTCCTGCACCTGCAGTTACACACTGAAGAACACACACGAGAGGATGAACAGTGATACAGTTTCTTCAGAAAACAGAACTAATTGAGCAGTTTTTTCAGTGCTATGTTTTGTGTAACTGTGTTTAGCAGTTCGATGATGATCTCAGCGACAGCATGTGAGGCTGTGAGCATGTTAGTTATAAGTTACATACATCATGCTTAGCGTTTCTTGCATCAGAAAGCGATGTTTTTGCATTATCCTGCACCTGCAGTTACACACTGAAGAACACAACACGAGAGGATAATGAACAGTGATAAGTTCTTCAGAAAACAAAGCTGAACAGCTCTTTGACATTTAACCATTTCAGAGATCATATTCTCTGTGTTCCTCGTGTAAATGTGTTTAGCAGTTCGATGATGATCTTGGAGACAGCATCTTATGCTAGTTATGAGAGTTACATCATGCTTAGCGCTTCTTGCATCAGAAAGCAATGTTGATATGCGAGGTGATCATGGCTAGTACTGATGGATAGTTAAAGAGATCTATACTACATAGAAAGATCATGAACAACTCACTGATGATGATTTTGTCTTTTGATCCAAGATGCACTCTCTCCCCCACCTTGGAAATGAGGACTATTATACACGCATGCTTGCACATTAGCGTCGCCTTTTCGATTTGTTTAGTCTTGGCACACAAGGGAAGGCATTGAAAAGCCTAGTTCATGAGCCACTAATCATCACAAATATTGTCTAGCTATCTATCCCTCTAATTCAGCTTTACACTTTTCTCTAGAAACAACTACTTTAGGAGTTCCAATATGGTACTTAGTACTACTATACTAACTAATCCAAAACTACTAATGTAGTACTCCATGTACACTACAGTAAAAGGCAAAGGGTTTAAATCCAAAGAAAGTTGAAAGGTAGGAGACCAATGAGAGAGTAAAAAATCCTGTACACATACACATGCCTTTAGACAGTGGTGAAGCTACTTTGGTGCACATTTTGTCCATGGGTCTGCAAAAGTTTCCAACTCTGAAATCTATGTGCATCCCTAGGTAAATGTTTTTTGTTTCCTGTTCCTTGTACTGTAAATGACAGGGTAGCTAGTGAGTAGTGACAGCTCTCACTGTAAATATTTTGCAATGATGCATCAAATACTTGGCAGGATTGTGGCTATCAACTAGTATCAAGTATGGTTTGGACCGGTAGGATATATACACCAACACTGTGGTCCATGAAAATATCTTTCTTCTAGGTAATTTAACTTGTGTTTAGTACTTAAATAGTTTAAAGCAAAAAAATAATCCCTCAGAGAATATAGCTGGAAAAAAGTAGTTCATATATACTAGCACTCAGATAAGTTTTAGCCTTTTGGGCCAAACAAAATTCAGATACTCGGTTGACTATATGTTCTAATCATCCAATCACACCAATCATTGGAGAGTTAACTAATATTATAAGCATTCATACATTAAAAACTTTACCACACTAATTAAGTTCATAAGATGGTCAACTTGCTGTTAAAGTTTGAGGTAGCACTTCAGTTATCTTGTCAGCAAAGCTACTAGCTTTCTTCTTCTCACAGTGCTGACTTGTTCGGTTGTCTGCTGCCGCATGCAGAGGCTGCAGCAACCATTTTGCCGCGCGGAATGCAGACAGACAGTATGCATAAAAATAAGGTGTCAAATCTTCAGTTTTTTTTTACAATGTTTGTGTCACTTGGTTCAAGAAAACAATATGAGTGTTTGTACACTTTGATAGATCATCTGCTCGCTTCTGGGATCAGCACTGGACTGATCAATCTGTTTTGAGAGCTATGATTTGCATTGATTTCTACACCCAAAAATGCATCAAGAACAAAGGACAATGTGACAGTTTGTTCACTTGAGTGCTCCATTCTGGTATCTGGTGAGATGAGTGACTTTTACTTAAGCCCATGATATGATCATTGTTACTATTGCATTAGTTCTCTTCATGCATATGTCAATGCTTGGAATTTCACAAAATCGTAAAATTAGTGAAAGAAGAAGGCAAGATTGGTATCATGATTAAGACATTATGTATGCCTTCATGCCTTGGAAAGATCTAATCCAAGTGTACTAGGAACAGTGATCAAAATATCTTCACCTCTGGGATCATATCATCTACTCGTGGCTGATCTTTTGATGAACAATATAATGTTCTGTACTTCTCTTCAGTTAGAATTTGGAAGATAACCAAAACAGTAGCACACGCCATTGCAAATTGAAACTAAACATCAGGAAGAGATCCTAAATGGATCACTAGTAAGTAGCTAGAACTCAAAAAGTTTCAGACATCAAAACGGTGCAAAAATTTCAGAGAGTGAGCGGCAAAACCTTTGAACAGAGGTTTGCCCCCACTTGGATAAGAATCTCCATGAGCATATTTGAGCATTACCTGACACACCTCACTCAACTGAATTTACCAGCATTTAGCTGCCATGTGCCAAAGTTACACAAAAGAAGAACAGCAAGAATCAAAACCTTGGCATTGGCAAGCTATCCAATCGAGTGCACTCTCCCCATGCCTCACCCAAAAGCAATCAGAGCTCCATCATCGCACTCACTGCCACTGTGGGTCCCTCAAGCATATGCAAGCCATGCCATTGTTGCCACAATGCAAAGTTTTTCCCTTCAGCTCTCTAGCCATCTAGCTAGCTAGCTCTTCTTTGAAAACGAAAAGAGAAAGTGAAAAGAAAGAGATCATAAGCAGTGTAGGTATATCAATTCAGAAAGTGAGAAAGACAATGCGAGACAAAGAGATTGTAGATGTTGCATTGTCGCATGCAGCAATGCAGCCACTGCACAACAAGGTTGCACAAAGGCTAAAAGCTTGTGTATATGCTCGTTCCAAGCTACACATCATATTCTCCTCGGAAAAGGGAACTTATAGGTTAGTAATCCTATGCACGCCATCCTTTCTTTCAGTAGAAACATGTGTAAGATCGTGATGTGAAAGTAGGTATTAAATATAGGTGGATTATCTATCTTTTTTGTATCGAGTTTTTTTGAATTTCAATGGTTGGAATTGGAGTGTTTCACATAGAAATTCCTTTGTTGCAATGAAAATGTATCTCATTGAATTCATATATTTTTAATGCCCAGGCTGACTAAGCTAGCAGCATAGCAAGAAAAGGTAACAGTACTAATTAGGAGAA